CTCGATTTCCCCATCAACCTCTCTGGGCCCCGGTGATGCTTGCGGAGATGGAGCACACGGAGAAACAGAGCATCACAATGACAGACAGACGACCCCCACAGCCTGGGCCTGGGGCCCAGAGACACTTAAAACACACGCTGCCTTCACACCCTCCCCCGTGCCCAGCTGGTGGCGGCTCTGTGGATGACGACACGGGCCCTGCCGGGTCCGAGGGGCATTCTGGTTTAACATCATGTTTATGCAACGTGAGGCACTGTCCCCGTGATCCACTCTGCTCTCCTCCCTCAGCCCCACTCTCGCCTCCACCTGGGCGGGCCATAGGATTCATACAAAATTAACTGGAGGTTCCGTTTCACAACACTCCAGTATCCAGTTCCCACCCCACCCCTGCTGCTGCCCCCCTTCTTTGTTCCCCTCTCTCCCCCACCAGGAGATGCACAATGCAGGGAGCACTCAGCGGGACCTGTCTGAGCCGCCCCTTCTGACAGCCTGAGGTGCGGGGGGCTGGAAGTGAAGGACAAGGGGTGTGCATGCCAAGTGGCTCAGGGCAGTGCCTCTCGGAGCTTGGGGAATTGAAGCCAATTGTTCCATGGGTGACACAAGCTGTCCCATGTCCTGTCCCCCTTCTGCAGCCTTCCATCCCACCCAAGGGGGGGGTAGAGGCATCCCCTACCTCTCAGTCTTCTCCCTTCTTTCTGTGAATATTTGTTTGAGCGCCCAGGCATTGTACCAGGTGCGGGGGACACAGTGGAGAATGACAAACAGCTCCTGCCTCTGGGGCCTCACAGGCCACCCCAATACCTATCACCCATTTTTCGAGACTAATCGCAAAGCAGCCTACTCTGGGAAGCCTTCTCTGGTAGCATATTAACTCTTTGTTTGGTACCATCTTATTTATTTATTTATTAGATTTATTTATTTATTTTAGAGAATGAGAGCGAGAGAGTGCTCAGGGGGGAGGGGTTGAGGGAGAGGGAGAGAGAGAAACTCAAGCAGACTCGCCCCACCAGATCACCGAGCACAGAGCTGGATGTGGGGCTTGATCTTAGGACCCCGAGATCAGACCTGAGCTGAAACCAAGTCAGATGCCCAACCAACCACACCACTGAGGTGCCCTGGTACCATCTTATTTAATTACCTATTTCTTTCATGGGGATAGAGCTGATGCATGTTGTTTTTTATAAGAAATATTTGGCTATAATAATAACAATGATAATGAACATCATTTCAGCAGTGTCTAGGGTATGTCATATATCATACTAAGCCCTTCATGTGGATTATCTAATATTCACAACAACCTGTGAAGTAGGTAGTGTTATTACTCCCATTTCACAGATAAGGCAACTGAGGCTTGGAGAAGTTAACTGAATTCTTTCATGTGTCCCTTGAAGAGTAAATGTCCCTTGAAGAGTAAGCCTGGCAGGATTTAAACCTGGGTCTTGGGCTCTACTGTCCTATGTTGGAAGGGTGTGGAAGGAAAGGAAGCAGTGGAGGGCAAGGAGGGGAGGGCACTGCTGGAGTGGAATGGAACCAACAGGGGAGGAGGGAAGGAATGGAGCTCAGATCAGAGACGGAGGCCACCCCTGGCCTCACAGGGAGCCAGGTTTACCCCCCAGTTGTCACCAGAGTCAGGCCTTCAGGGGGAAAGTTCCACACTGCCAGGCCTTGGGAGCTGAGCCCCTGGCCAGCAGCAGGTGGTGCCCCAGGTGAGAGTGGATTTCTCATGGTGTCAACCCACCTCTATCACTTGCAGAGATCTTTTTGCCTAAAATTAGCTGGATGTGAAGCGGAAGGCTAATTTATGCATGGCCCAGAGCAGTTTCCTGTAGTGTGACTCAGAGGCTGGCTCCTTGCTCACGTCAGCAGACGAGGGGCACAGGGTGTTGGGAATGGCCAACCTGAGTCCCCGTCTGCAGCTGGTACAGCCCCAGACCATGTGGCTTTTCAGCTGGGGGCTAGGGCTGGAGGACCAAGCATTTCTCGAAGTCAGAAGAGGGCCAAATAGGGCATGAATGCTGAACACCAGAGGGAATAAAGAAAAGTTCCTTGGTGGCCCCAACCTACTCAGGCCCTCATTGGACAGAAGGCATCTTTAGAGGACTGTTCCCAGGTGCACATGCTTGGCTCAAGCACAGGAACACATCTTGGGATGGTGTCCAAGGCAGCTGTGTTCAAAGTCTGCTCTGATGTGGACAGTGGTGGTGACCTTGAGCCGTCATGCTTCTCATCTGTGAAATGGGGTAGCAACACCTGCTTCTAGGAACATGTGTGATAAGAACGTAGCACAGCCTGGTAAAAAGTGTCGTACCATTCACAGACATTGGCCAGCATTCCAGAAGGGTCAGATTCCACCCTTTCCAGAGAATGCGACTGCTTCTTCCAGAGTTATGATAACCATAATGAAAACAATAGCAACAAGAGCTGACATTTATTGAGACTTAGAGACTGGGCACTTGGCCTAATCTCATTCAACGTTCACAACCTATTTTACTGATGGGAAAATGGAGGTGTTTAGTCTCTGGGCCTGAATCCTAACACATGGCACTATCCATGGGCCAGGCATTGTTCTAAGCTACTTCACCGTGTCCTCACCACCCTATGAGACAGTTACTGTTATTGTCCCAATTTACAAATGAGGAAACCGAGGCACAGAGGAGTTGATACCTTGCCCAGAATCCCACAGCTGGTAAATGGCAGGGCTGGGATTTGAACCCAGGTTGTCCAAGTCTGAGGTCTGTAGCATTATGCTCTTCTGCCTCTCCCCAAACCTCTACTGCACCCTGGGAGATCCTTCTAGGGACCAACACAGCAGGGGCTCTGGGTAATCCTGCTACGGGCTTTCTCCCCATTCTCAGAGATCTTTCCCATCAGAGATCTCACTTGGTCCTCATGAGAAATTAGGAAACCAAGGCCCAGGGAGGTCAAACCAAAAGCCCCCAGCACACATGGCTGACAGGTGGCTGAGCGATATTCAGAGCTGTCATGATTCCTTCCACTGTAAAGATGATAAAGCCGAGTCTCCTTTATTTTCCACATAATGCCTACCTTTTTGCAGTGCCCTGGCATTCTGTGGAATTCCATCTAAAAAATGCTGCTCTATGCCATGCTACATGCTTTTCCTTCTCTTTCCTCCATAGCCAAGTTCAAGTACCTCCTCCAGGAAGCCTTCCCTGACCTTCCCTGCCTACCCACCTCACCTCTCCTCTGAGCTCTGGGGTCCATGCTATACCTGGGCTAGATTATGGGCTGTTTTGGCTGCTCAGCTGCTCCCCATGGGCTGGGGACTCAGTGGCCACATCTCAGGGCTTTACTGGGCAGCTATCCACCCTCTTCTGTGCCAGGTACCAGACTGGGAACTAGATGTATGGGAGGAGCAAGACAGGATTCCTGCCCTTTGGTGTGCCCATGCTTTTCCAGCAGGACGCAGTGGGGGACACAGTGAACCAAATGGTGATGGCTCTGCACAGAGCTGGAGTTTGGCCATGGGCCGCTCAGTTTCCCAGAGTCCAAGAGCCTGTCAGGGGGTTGGGGAGGAGAGGCGGGTTTCTCCACACCATGGTCCATATGCCAAGGTCCATGGCCTGGCTTCGAGAGGCTCTGCGAATGTGCTGACAGTGTGAGCCACATCTGTAGTATGCGGTGGTTTTTTTTCTGGGAAAAAGGACCACAACTTCTAGCAGGTTCTCTGCAGGGCCTGAGACTGAGAGACACTTAAGACTTCCTGACTCAAGAGAATCTCCTGGTCCCATTGAAAAGAAAAAGACTCCTGGGGCGACCCTTCCTCCTAGCAGGCCAGGTGTGCCAACCTGATGGCAGAGGTGAGCATGAGCCATTCTGCCACAGACTGGTGTTTGCAAGAGGCCCAGGAGCCCCCGGGCAGAGCTTGCTCCCATCTCAGGGCATGTGTGGCCATTCTCAAGCTCCGAGTTAGAATCACAAAATCAGGAAAGGATGTTTCCTCTATTCCCACTCTACTCCCCAAACAAAACCAAACATCACCAAGAAAGGAAGGTGTTTCTAAACTTCTGCCTAGCTGAGTGGCTAGAGTCCCTTCCCAGGCAGCCTCTGCAGGAAATGCATTGAGAGTTGGTGCCCAGCAGTGCGCAGGGCATGGGGACCGGAGTCAGGAGACAGGATGGGAAGGACTTTTGGCCTTGGATTTCTCATCTGTCATATGGGGATAAGAATTCGGATGCTGTCTCCTAGCTGTGATCTGTACTTGGCGGAGGGATTGTCATCCATTGCTTAGAATAAGTAGAATAAGAATGGCTGCCACTTACTGAGCACCTACCGTATGCTCAGGCTTCTAGTAGGCACTATGAGGTAGTCGTTGGTTCCCTTTTCCACAGGAAGAAACTGAGGCTCAGCACAACCTTTTTGCACAAAGCTGTAAGACTGGGGGAGTGCCAGGGAAGAGCCTCACACCCACACCTTTGGGGTTTATGCAGGGAACTCTTCTCCCTAATGGCAAGGGGAAAGTAACTGTGGGGATGGGGACCCAAACTCTACACTCTGGTGCTCAAGCTGGGCTGGTTTCTCTTCCTTCTGCCCAACAGCAGATAACCTGGCTTTGGTCCCCTTCAGCCAAGCCCCCAGAAACTGAAACCTTCTCTCTCCTGAGATGCTAGGTCTGCTCATTTTGGCAATTACAAGAAAGCCCCACACCCATCCCCAGGGCAAGACACACACAGGCATCTGTTCACCTTTCCCGAATGGCCCATCTTCCTGCCTGCCCTGTCTTCCAGCAGCTCCATGGCCTATGGCTGCCCCAGAGACCTAGGGAGCCACCATCAGAGTTTGGATTTGGGACAGTTGGACACAACCCAGGCCAGTGACATGGGTTGTGGAGCTGGATTTGAATGCATGTGGATTTGAATGCAATGTTGTGGTCCCATGATTAAGCCCAGATGAGGGGGTTCCTGGGTCCTGGGGAAGGGAGGCCAGGGGCTGGGTGGCTGGATCCCAAATCCAAGCACTGTGTTCAAATCTTCCACACCTACCTTCGACAGGTGAGGTTTTGAGGCGCCGGCAGATGGCTTCAGTGTCCCCATAAGTCTCCTTGATCTTGACCACAGCCTCGGTGCCCCGTAGCTCCATGAGGGAGCGGAGCTCCTCCATTGTGCACCCGAACTCGCCCCCATGGCTTGACTCATTTCTTTGGTTTTTGGAGTAAAAATCGCTGTTGGTCATGTCACCCATGTTTGCTCCAGTCCCTGCTCGGGGTGGGCCCGAGAGTCAGCACTGGACCAGAGGCTGCTGGGCGACGGCTCCACGTGGCTGTCCTTAGCACAACCTCACTGGATGACTGTGACTCCTGGTGGCCGACTTTGGGTCCCAGGGGGAGGGGGCGGCCGAGGTGGGCTGGCGACTGCGGTGGTGAGCTCCAAGGGGTGTCCCTGGGCACGGGGCAACGTCCAGGGGCCGGAGGGGCTCAGGGCTGTAGACCCAGGAGTCTCCATTCAGTGGGGCCCATGCTGCTCCCTGGAGCTGGTATCTACATGGTCAGGGGCGGTGGCTCCTGTGGGGGCAAGCACAGAGTGGTGACAAGGGTCAGGCACTGGAGGACTCATGGGACAGAGGCTCGGGAGGGCCCAGGCTGCATTTGCTTGTACACCACACAGACCACCCCAAATAACACCCCCTACATATACACATACCCTAACACAGGTGTTTCCTACAATACCCCATAACACACCAGCTCACACTGTAAATCTAAATATACTGGAGCCCACCTGGGCATTCTATAATATGCCACCCCTGAGGCACAGCCTGGTGTACCCCCAAAACACACCCTAACCCCCTAATTGTCTATTGTGCTATTTAACACACGGACTTCATGACATGCGCCCTGGTGTACACACACCCTCTGACATACACAACTCAGGGTGCTCCGCAACACCCAACCTGCCTACTTTTAGGCAATCCCACCGCCATACACACACACTAATACATGAGTCCCACTTCACACACACCCTGGTGGACAGCCCCCTTCCTGCCATAAATACAACCCCACGTAGCCACAATTCTAGGAATACATCTTCACATTCCCACCCCCTCTCCTCAAAAATACCTGTGCTCACAGTCTTGTTTACACACACACTAGGCTCTCACAATCTGGAGCACAACCCCACCCTGTAAGTAATAGCCCCAGCCTCCCCAGCATATATGCTTCCTCCATCCACGCCACCTACATCTGCTGTGGTCCCCACTCTAGTTTCACAGGCATGGGAATGGGAGAAAGCTGCATACCCTCACCCGCAGTCTCCAACCACAGGAACCAAGGCCCTTGGCCTGGCCAGAGGAATCAGCTCATGCATATTCACCGGGACATCACTGAGCAACCCCCCTCCCCCCGCTTGGCCCCCAGCATGAGCTGGGGTCCGTGGAGCCCTCACCTGTGGGCCCCCACAGTTCAGCACCACAGATAGCAGCTAGGACATCCCTCAGGGAGCCCAGGAAGAGGAGAAGAGAGCAGCGGCTTTTCCCTGCCTGCCGGCCCAGCCGCCCTTGCAGAAGTGTGGCATCTGCAGGGCTGCCAGGAGAGAATCCAATCCACCCCGACACCCAACACCGGTGGCCAAGGTCCCTGGCAAGCGTTGGGTGACAAAGGGCCTCTGCTGAGCTTGGCTGGGCCTGGCATGGGGACTGGCCCCACCCAGGAGGCATAGACAGCTGGCCATCCTAGGTCTGGGACAGTAAGGGGGAAGGGGTAAGGGGAGGAAGATGGGATTGAGCCCCCGACCCAGCTCCAACTCCTTCCCCTTGTCCCCTGCCCCATCTCTTTGCTTCACCAACCTTTCCTCTTGCAAAAAAGTGCTGGAGGCATTTTAGAGTCAATTTCATTTTCCTAGTAAGGAACCAGAAGCTCAGAGAGGGAAAGGAACTTGTCCAGAGCCACACAGAGCTAGCTAGAGTGGAGGGAATCCAGAGGTGGGCTGGTCTCTGGACTCTCAGCCTGGTGCTTTCCCCCCTTCCCCTAGGGGGTGCTCCCTCTTTACTCTCTGAAGAGCAGAGGCTGGTGGGTGAACCGTGCCTAATGGCAGTGAACAAGATAGGCTCTTGAGTCAGAGCAACCTGGGTTCAAATCCAAGTCCTCCCAAATCCTGGCTCTAGGACCCTGGGCAAGCCCCTCCCTTCATTTTTCCAAGGCTTTGTTTCCTCATCTGTAAAATAATAATCACTGTCCCCTGTCCCTTTGCTACCTCCCAATTTATTGGGAAATAATTATAAACCATGTTCAAATTCACTGTGTTTCCACCTGGGTTATGGGGCTTCCCAGCCATGGGTCAGCAGCTTCTGGAGCCACAGGAGAAACCTTTCATGACTTACAGGAGGGCACCTTTACTCAAGGATGCAGTAGGAGGCCTTATTCTTACACTGGGAGCAACAAGTATCTTATAGAGTGGTCCTGATGCTGCAAGCAGAGACACAAGACACCAGAGAAAGAGTGTGCTTGGGGGTCCCACCCCAGTCCTGTAGGAACATGCATGGTCCTTGGCAATCTGAGCATGTACCACCCCCAGAACCCATGAGTTTTGACCCCAGCAGTGCATCCCTATGAGAAGCAAATGAGGCAGGGACCAAGGATGCCTGTGTAGAGATGTCATAAAGGTTAACTGCAGGGGCTCTAGAAACTACAGTCTCTGGGTTCAAATTCTAGCCCCTCCATCTACCAGTAGAATGGGAAGCAAAGCAGTTTTAGTTTCATCTTATAAAAAAGGCAGAGGGAATAACAGTATCTACTTCATAGGTATTATGAGGCTTAAATGAGTTATTTCATGTAAAATATTTAGAACCAAACCAAGCACATGGTAAGCACTCAGTAATTATTGTGATTATTACCAATCCATATAAGCACTTTATGAGATAGGTAGTCTGGTTATTCCCATATAACAACATGAGGAAGCTGAGGCCAAGAGATGTGAAGCAACATTCCAAGGTCACATAGCTAGTGAGTGCCAGAGCTGGGATTTGAACTCAGGCAGTCTGAATCCAGAACCACACCCTTAATCAGGACACTTTGCTGCCTTCCCTTGTGAATCTCTCTCATGGGGTTCTTAGGATGGGTAAATGAACTGCCATATGTGAACGAAAGTGCTTTGCAAACCACAAGGGATTTTCTAAACCCGAGGTGCTGTTTTTGATCTGTCCCCCTGTTACCTGCGGCATGTCTTACAGGCACTGATAATTACATCTCTGGCAGCACGAGTTATGAGAATTGTTAGGAGTAATTACATTTACAATGACAATAGTAGGCATGAGTTAATGGGCTACTGGAGATTTTAACTATGGTGTTAAGATGAACAATGATCCTCAACCATCTATCTACCTATCTACCCATTCATCCATCCATCCATCCATCCATCCATCCATCCATCCATCCATCCATCCATCCAATCATCCATTCAGTAATTGTGTTTTGGGCACCTACTCTGTGCTAGGCACTGGATGATCCAGACATTGTTCCTGCTCCTGCCCTCCAGAAGCTGATGGTGGGGAGGAGGGACAATTGAATGAGTGACATCTATAACATGAATGAGTTTACCATGATGGGAAGTGACAGTTGCTATAGCTGTCCAGAGTAGGAAGATCTGATCTGGCCCAGGGTATCAGGACATATTTTTCCTCTCAGTATGAGTAGGGAATATTTCTTTCCCATGTAGGTTAAGCAGGACTTAAGCCAAAGGATGAACAGAAAATAAACTCAAATATGCAACTGTCTGTTACGAAAGGGCATAGTAAAAGGTGCAGGAAGGGACCTGTATGTATGGAGGGATGCAATTCTGGGATAACAAAATTAGTTAAAATTCAGAAGTCTGCCTCTGTAGGTGATTAATCTTTAACTTCCTTTTTTGAAAACAAAACAAACAAAACAAAACAAAACTTCCTTCTTTGAGATTTCCCATCACAGCTACCTCTTCTGATGCGGCCCTTCCCCCACCCCCTCGTCCCCTGCTCCTGCCTCCCATGCATGCATGAGACCTGCACGCATGAGACCACCCCTGTTCTGGGCATCTTGGTTGGTCCTAACTTGCAGAGCTCACTTTGGTACTTGACCTGGCTGTGGGATTTGCTTGATTTGAGAGTATGAATCCACTGACACAGAAGCATCTGTGGGATGCCACACAAATGATCTTCTGGCAGGCAGAACTGAAGACCTCCTAGCTTGTACAGAATTCACAACTATGGACTGAAAACTCCGTAGTTGCCCCATATCTGTCACAGAGCGCTCTCTACTACCTGCACCTTCCCCACCCTGACAATGGCCTGTCCTGCTCAGCAGTGTGCTTTCCTTGGAAGCCTTCCCTGACCACCCAGGACTGTGTAAATGCTCCCAACTCTGGAAGCCTCTGGTATCATCCTGCACTTCATACTTTATTGCTTGGACCCACTTCATGTCTCTCTTCCTCAAGAGCCAGAGAGCTCTGTGTGGGCAGTAGCCATGTCTATTTTGTACCTATGGGGCCTGACACTCAGAAAGCACTCGATAAGTGCTTGGTGAATGGATGGATCAGCCCTTGCGTCATCTGTCCCTGGGAGGTATGAGTTTAGATAAGTCCTTGAACCTTAGTTTCCCCATCTATCAAATGGAATAGTGATTCTTATTCCATCGATGTTACAGGTTTGTTGGGGTCTGGAAAGATATCAGAATCAGTAGTTATATTTTTTTTCTTTGAGATACACCCCCACTCTCCACTCCCCAGTTTCTCTTTGGTATAATGAGACATGGGTGTGAGGCTAAAGCTGGAGCAGGCAGCCGTCTCCTTAGCCAAAGCCCACCAGACTCTGATTTTCTTGCTGCCTCACTCAAATACCACATGAGCCACCACTCTATAGCTGAGAGATTCAATGAGCTGTGTGACCTTGGAGAAGTCACCTAGGCTCACTGGGCCTCGTCTGCAAAGTGGAGTGGATCTACCTGTCTTACAGGTTGTGGTGAGGACTCAGGGATACCCTGTGTGAGGGCTCTGGGTGAGGCTCCGGGCCTGGAACGGACACTCTAGAACACTGGCTTCTGTACCTCTGCCTGGCCCCTCTCCCACCCCATTACTAGCAAGTGCGCCTCTCCCATGGTTGTGATGAGATTTGTTTGCAGCCAGCATTCAACTTGGCACAGTCACCTCTGCCCAAAACAGTGGGCACACAGGCTGGTAGGGACTGAATGTGTCCCCTCAAATTCATAGGTAGAAGCCCTCATCCTTGGGCACCTGGGTGGCTCAGTTGGTTAAGTGACTGCCTTCGGCTCAGGTCATGATCCTGGAGTCCCTGGATCGAGTCCCGCATCGGGCTCCCTGCTCGGCAGGGAGTCTGCTTCTGCCTCTGACCCTCCCCCCTCTCATGTGCTCTCTCTCATTCTCTCTCTCAAATAAATAAATAAAATCTTAAAAAAAAAAAAAAAAAGAAGCCCTCATCCTCAATGTGACGGTATTAGGAGGTGGGGCCTTTGGGAGGGGCTTAGGTCATGAGGGTGGAGCCCTCCTGAAGGGGATTAGTGCTCTTCGGAGGAGACAGGAGAGA